GTTTGTATTTTATCTTCCATTTGACTCTAGTTTGTTTGTCGTCGTCGTTGTTGTTTATTCTGTCGTTATCTTTTTGAATGTCGGCTCTGTGATCGTTCACATGGCTCTCAGACAATATGGATGTTTCCTTTCAGCCAATAAGATGAATATGAATTTCACATTTTTGTATTTTAAATAGAAATTCATAACCTGTAGTTTTTACTAGATTTAATATTCAACAGCTCTGATTTAACCAAATCTAACTTACAAACAACAATTATTTATCAAAATGTAACTAATTTTTTCAAGTAAAGTTCTTTAAAAAAACTTTACAAACACACTTAAGCTTTAATAGAACACAAAGCCATCGTGTAACGACTATAATTTAATTATATTATTATTGTAATAGATAATAAAATACATTAATCTGTATTTTAATGTATTTAATCTGTATTCATATTAAAAATGTTTTTCAATCAGTGCAGCAGAATTCATTCAGACAGATCGTCTATTCATCAATTCTGCTTATTGTTGAAGTCATTTTTCACACTCGACTTGAAGCTGCAGTAAGTAACTTTTATAAACATGTGAGAAAGTTTATTGTCGAGTCTCCTGAAGCCTCGGTGTTTGACGACTTGTCCAGGTTTCATGGATTGTTGTAAATCCCGTCAGTAGCTCTAGGAGGAGCCAGAGGAAGCGGATTTATTCTCACATTATCTTCTTCTGTCGGGATATAATGAAGGTTTCAGCAAATATGACAGAAAGTAATTCTTCATAAAAGTGAACCTACAGCAGCTTTTAGTCTCTCTGGATTCATCCTCAGCTCTTCATCACGTAAAATACATATTTTTATCAAATTTACTGACATTAAAAAGGGAATTCCATCATTCAACCATTAAACCATTTTAATTTAACGAGTACTTTTATTTGTAATACTTAAAGTACATTGTCCTGATTATATACACACTCCTTTAGTTAAGTGACATGTTTAACACTGAGCTTTAACTTGTAATAGAGTACTTTTACTGTTACTCGCCTGTAGTTTCAGTGTCAGAGAGTCTTTCTGAGACTGGAACTCATTGGCGCTCTCCACCTCTGCTTTCAGTCTCTCCAACTCCTGCAGGTGAAAACACAATCAGTCCATAATAAAAATTAAAACAAGACGTTCGTGTGTGAAACTTCTCAAACTGCTCGAACCTCCTCCTTCGCCTTCAGCGCCGACTCCAGCTCCTCTATCGTTTGGTTGAGCTCTGTCTTTTGGGATTTGATCACCGTCGTCTGGCCGCTCACGCACTCCAGCTCCGTCACCTGGAACGCCACAACAACAACAAAACAACAACCCGTCAGCCTTTCGCTCACGCACACAAACCGCCTCACAGCGCGGATCAGGACGTTCATACGAGTTCACACCCGTTTGTGTAGCCTCTCGGCTTCTTCCTGATAGGCCGCCAGCTGCTGCTTCCACTGTTTGACGTTGGCCGTGGACTCGAGCAGAGCCGCCGTCAGCTTGGCGTTGTTCCCCTTGAGCGCCGCCAGCTCCGCCTCCCAGTGCTTGTTGATGCTGGATGAGCTGAGACGAGAGGAAGAAATACTCAGATCCTCAACTTAAAGCTTCTATTAGGAACTTTTATTGTGTTGATTCTGGCGCCCCCCTGTGGACAAAGGTGGCCGCTACCGCTTTGTTTCATTGATTTCAAGGGGAATCCTCCTTTTTAATGAGTTACATTACAGTTTTCCTTTAACCATCGACTGTAAGTTACAGTTCAAATCCAGTTGAATTTATTATATTTTAGAGAAAAGCCTTAAAAAGTCATCTTCTAGAAAGCGAACAAACACTTTCACTTCCTAGAAGATTAATTATTAAAACAATTAAGGTTGCTGTGCATGTCGGAGACGTAGGAGAGATCTCAGTGATAAATTATTTACAGGAAATTTGGTCATTTTAATACATTTTAAAGGTGTTTCCATGACTGGAAAACTAGTCTCTAAATTTCCAGGTTTTCCAGGATGTGTGGGAAACCTGTAAAAGTAGAAACATTATAGTGTAAAGATACTAAAGTTAAAATGTATCCTGAGGAGTCGATTGTAGATACTTTATATATTATATATTAGATTAATAGTGAAGTACTGCATTATATCATTTATTATATATTGTTTTATTATGTAACAAATAGCAACTTTAAGTATTAGTAGAAAGTGGCAGTACAGTCGCACCGTGCTTAAATAAGTGTAGTTACATCAGGCTGCAACCAATTAACCAGTTACATCATTATTTATTGATCTGCCAAATATTTTCTTCATTGCACCATTAATTAATTAAACATTTGGACTTTAAAATGTCCTTTATGGTTTCCTAAAGCTCCGAGTTGACTAAAGATTAATTATATTAATGATTTAAATCCACTTATTGAATCCGACTGAATGTTATCAGGTCCAACTTTTGAACATTTCACCACATTTATAACCTTTATTAGCTTTAAATAACACTGCTGTATATACTTTTGGACCTGTGCAGTTATATTTAGATATATTTATATATTATACACGTCACTTATTCTATTCTGTGTATTTTCTATTGTGTTGTATCTGCAGCTGCTGAACAAAAAGCTTCTGATCTCGTCGGCAGAAGTTGAAGTTTCTGTCAGTTTAATCTTGTGTATTTTTTCGTCTATTGTGTCTGCGGACAAAAAGCTGAATGAATTCCCGTAAACGTCAGTTCACAGAGAACCAGCAGAAACCAGTTTTCAGTGAACTGTCGTCACGTCGAGGCTGAAAAACAACTCCAGTTCCTGTAACGTCGAGCTGAACACAGACTTCGTGTTGCGTGAGGCTTCCCGAGAATGAGGAGCTGTCGCCTCTCAGGTGTCAGATCTGTCGCCGTCTACCCAGAATCCCCTGAGGCATGCTGAGGCTGTTTACTGTAATGAATACCGCTCGCGCACCTAAACGAACTCACTGACTTCAGATCAGAGCTGGAGGAAGGTATTCAGAGTAGGAACGTAATAAAATACGTGTGGAACATTCAGGAGGAACTTCACAGCTCCGTTCTCACTCCCAGGTCGTCAAATACAGACGCGAGTGGTGTTCAGTTATCTGCAACTTTACAGTTGAATGTCATTAAATCCTCCACACTGGTTCTTTTTAAAGGTCCTGAATTCACAACATGTTAAAGTACACAAGTGTTAAAGTATTAATTAAGCAGAAAGCTTCATGTTATTATTAATGGATTATTGTTATTGATCTATTGATCTTTTCATTAGTGTGTGATCACCTGAATATCAAGGTTTAAGGTCACTTTATTTGTATATATAAAAACAACAAACATCTCAGATAAACATGATATAAACGTGATAAACGATCAATAAAGAAACTACTAAGATAAAAATGCAGATAAAACCAAGAATATCTTTGTGCCGGCTTATTGATCTGACTGATCGCTGCTGGGACGAAGCTCTTTTTATACTCTTTATTCTACATATTGGGACTATAAACCTTCGTCCAGGAGGAAGAAGAGGCTGATATTCAATGTGTGAAAGGGCAGAAGTCTTCGTTTAAAAATGAGCTGTAACGAGTTATAGGAGTTATGTTTTTGTTGCCTTTCAATAAATCGTTTCATCTACAGACGCTGCAGGTCGCCTTCTATAAAGTCCACTGAGCAGGATTTAGTGACATCTACCGGTGTAGTTGCAGGTTGCAACCCCGTCGCTTCACCCTCTTCTTCTAAGCGTGGAGGAAAAACTACGAGCCAGTGTTTGTCCATTCTGGGCCACTGTAGAAACACGTGAATGGTACTTTAATGTTGTAGTAGGAGCTAAGTAGCAAGTAAATGAGTATAAAGTATTTTGTTACTTAGTTAAAGTAAATTATCTTACTTCCTACCACTGCTTTAGATTGGAGATTTCTTTTGATGCCATTAAAGAAACAAACTATTTAAATAACATTAACACTGACTGTGAATGTTTGGACACTAGAAAACAAATGTTCTTAACATTTGATGTAAAACATGAAATAAAACCCGACAGCAGGACAGTGTTGTGGTTATTTGTGGATGATTTTATAATGAATTTAAACAGTTTGAACTATTTTAAAACAAGTGTTTCTGCTGCATTAACGTCCCCTGAAGCACCGCTGACACGACTCACCTCCACTCATTCAGAGGTTTATAATTAATAGGAAGCATGCGTAGTGTGTTACTGTAATGCTCCACTGCTGTCCAGAGGCCTGAGGGACCAGATCAATAATGAATGAATGAATCGACACGAGCTGCAGCGATCTGTGCTGCGCCAATTTCATTTTAAATCAGCTCTCCGGAGAACCGCTAACGGACTCGTTAACACCGAACGTGATGATTTAATGATCAGGATGCGTTAAACTATTAAAACCCAGTTCAACAGAAAGAAAACGAGACGATATTTGGCGTCTCCGTTTCGATATTTGAGCCTCTAAGCGCTCTGCTTTACCTGTGTGAGAAGGGCAGTGCATTCTGGGAAGGCTCTGCTCTGGCTTCGGTGTGCTGAGGCGTGTCTGGTGTGACTCTCTCGTCGTCTGTACCGTTGATGCTCTCCGAGGTCAAAGGTGACTGTAGATCGCCTGGTGCTGACTCCTGATTGGACAGTGAAACACAAAGAAATATATTATTTTTAAAAAGATTAATTTTATTGAAAAGAAACAGTTCAACATTTTTGGGGGGAAAAATAAAGTTTATTCGTTTATGTGCCGAGTTAAACGAGAAGATCGACACCACTCTGTGTCTGAGTTAGCTTAGCTTAGCATAAAGACTGTAAACGGGGGGAAACAGCTAGCCGAACTCTACCAACCAACACATCTAAAGCTCGAACAACATGTTTTATGTTATTTATAAAAACTCACTCATTAATACGTGTTAATTATGAGATTTAGAGGTGATGACAGGCTGATTTGTTACCTTTGAACATCGTTATTTTCACATCGTTTTCAAGTCTTTATCAAGCTGAGTGATATCGATCTTACCAGCGAGACGGCGAATAAGCACTTTTCCCCAAACGGCTGAACTTTTCCTTTAAATTTGGATTATGAAACAGAACAAAGTAATAAAGTTTTAATGACTCCGTGCTCTCAAAAATTAACTTTTCTGCTGAGATGTAGTTGAAGACGCTCTGAAAACTAACCACTAGACACAAAATTAGATTCAAATCACATTTTCTCTGTTTCTCTGCTTTTTGTGTCTGAGCTGCCGATTAAAGTGATTATTTAGAACTGTGACTCCATTTCTCTGAGGACACTGTGTCCCCTTTGCGTTATAAGATATCTCATAGCTGACTGTTACTTTTTGAGAGCACGAGAGGAGAGCTGGAGGGTCGTCTGTGGAAGGTTTATGTGGGAACTTCACAGGTTCCTCTGGTCGTTAGTCTGACGTCAGGATGAAGGACGAGGTTGTTAAAGACTGATGACGTGGGTTGCTCCGGTAAAAAGAAAGACTGGTGTAACAAAAACAATGACAACAGGTGATGAGTCTGGACTTTATACAGCATTGTGCTCTCACTGCTGGCTGCAGGGGAAGGTTTTTATGGGAGGTTTGCGTCATTAACTGGAGGGTAAGACTGGGAAGAAAACGGGGCCATCGGAGTCATGAAAATGATTCTTTCCACTTCTTTTTACCTTCTTTTTAACAGGTTTGTTGACTGATAACACATTCCTTTTTACAGCGCCGCCCTGAGGAGGAATCATTAGGGAGAGGAGAACAAGCCACAAGGTGTTAGCGAAGTGGCTGAACGTGAGCTGAGTGAAACATTAAACAACTTATTACAACGAGGTCGTCGTGCTACAGGAGCCGTCGTACAGGGATACATTAATGTCATTGCTGGGGGTTTGTTACCAACTTTATTAACACTTTAATATTGATTCTGAATGGAAAATACACTGTAAAACATATTAAACCAGAATGACTGAGAGCTTATGAGGAGATGGAGAGTTTTAAACTGCACAAATCTCAGAAATTAACGGGTGGAAAATCTCAAGAGGGAAACTTTCCTGTTCCTGTCGGAGCCTAAATTTTAATAAAATGGTGGATAAATAATACTTGTGTTGACAAACAGTAGTTTCTTCTGGAGTTTCTGCTTTAGTATAATACATCTGGTTCTATATCCAGTAACTGGTATAGTTTGATGGCAAACATCCAGAATGAAAAGGCCTGCTATGCTTTTAACTTGTGCAATAGCACGAATTTATGTTATTGTTACTTTTCTATGCTGATGATAAGATATACTTTATTGATCCCACACTGGGGAAATTCACTTGTTACAGCAGCTCCAGATAGAAGATAGCAGATAAGAACAAACAAAAAAGAAATATGCATAAAATAACAAAATAAAAATAAATAAATACAAGAAAGAAATTCAAGAAAACAACAGAATTATGGTTGTTATGTACATAATATATATATATACAAACACAGTAATTTAGGCAGGAACGAAATATTAAGCTAGCTAGAATAAATAGTCTAAAGACTAATGTGCACTTTTGATTTACCTGTAGCAGAAACTAAAAACTGGCAGGAATTTATACTATTTAATTTTTTTTAATAGTATTTTGTATTTCCAGCCAAGTTGCTTTATTCCTAAATCCTGAAAATGTTCATATATAAGCTACATACACGTCCAAATAGCTAAGCTCACGTCTTCATAGACAGATCCAGGTGTGCAGAGTGTGTAAGGATGCATTAGCGGGGATAATGTTACCTGAGAGGGAGTGCTGGTGAGCTCCATCTTCTCCTGAGACTTCTCCTTTGCTAACCTCGCTGCCTCCTTGAACTCCGCAAACTTATCTGCAAACTAAAAAAAGATAAAAAAAGACAGTTTGGTTTAAAGAGAGGAGACAAACTCAGTCTCTCTTTGTGGGTCTTCAGTCCCGCGCTCTCACCTTGGCCAGGTTGCTCTCCGACGAGAAGCCGAGGCCGTACACGGTGTTCGCCCGGCTGTCGGCCCACTGGCCAAACTTCTGCGACGTCTTGGTGAACGTCATGTTGGGGGTGATGGTGCTGTTGATGATGGCCTGTGGAGAATAAATATATTGTCTGTTAAAGCTTCACTGATTCAGGAAACAGGTTACAGCTGGAAGTCTGATGTCTACTGGGAACCGACTGTGTGTGTGTGTGTGTGTGTGTGTGTGTGTGTGGTGTGTGTGTGTTTTGGTTTGTGTTCACGTTTGTTTGGTAACAGGAAGCAGTCAATGAAGGATTTCTGAAGTGAGTCCAACTGACCTGTTATTGATCGGTGTGGGAGGACTCGCAGGCAGAGTTTGGAGAGAGGCGAGTGGTTTCGAGGAAAAATGGAAAATTTACTGTTCAATGCCTCAAATATTCAGTTTATTCTTCCCCTTCAAACGGAGATCTTAACTCAAGGTCCACTTACTCTCTTTTTTTAAGTTTTCGACCACATGACACAGTTCTCAACAGATTTACTTTTGTTGTATTTGCCAAGAAACTGTTGATGTTGAAGCTTTTCCATGATTCTAAGACCTCTGAGACTTTTCATCCAGCAGTCGAAAGCTCGAGAAGAAGCGAGTGAGTGGACCTTGAGTTGAGAATGTTTTGGTCTTTGAAGAGTAAATTAACGCCCGTTGAAAACGTCTTTGTTTAGATGCAATGATTTCACTTCTGAACTTGCTTCAGTGATGTACAGGTGTGGTTACAGGTGCAAACATTCCTGACCACATCGATCACAGGGGAAACAGGTTTGAAACTTTTTTTAAAAAAAGAGGAGACTTACTTCAGTTAATATAGCTTTCACATGCGAGTAGCTCTGCTCTGTTATTACACAGTATTTCATGAAAAGCTGACAGGAAAGTGAAATTTGTGAAAAAACATTTCCTCACAAATTTAAACGTTACTGTGAATAGGAGCGGTGACTTTCTGCGTCGTACGACCAAAACACACCGGCGCCGCAGTGCGTCATATAACACACATCACTAACACAGTCAGGTCGCTGCGTGTCTGGTTGCCTGCGGGGGTTAGACTTAGAAAATAATAGGGCCTGTTTTAGACTTTAATTGGCAGTATAAAAAATATACTTGAAAATGCAGCTGAAACTGTGACTCATGATTTTGGAAGTCAGCTTGTAAATACTGTACAGCAGTGAACTCCAGGACCCAAACCCAGAGGTGAACTCTAACAACTGTACCTGTAACGAATTAGTTTAAAAAATCATTATTTTTGTCACGGAGCTGTTTATGTATTAACTGTAGTTTGGCTCATTTCTGGACCACCAGAGAGACTTGTGACTGTGTGGCCTGCGTCTGTTTCTCTCTGACTTATTGTTGTTGTCTGGATAATCACGTCCTCCAGCACCAACCCGCCCAATCGCTGCTATTTCCAGCAGAAAACTTGCTGCTTCAACAACAGCAGTAGCCACCCAGAGAGGCTCTTACATAACTATGCTAACTCCACCTCTGCACCTCAAGACTAAAATAATCACTGCCACATAGATATGACAGACCCGACCGCCCCTTCACTGCTCCAGCACAGAGAGGCCAGACCGAGGCAAACAAAGCCTGGCAAGCTGAGAGTCGCGGTGGGACATACAATATATAAAAGAAGATATTGTTCTTTATGAATTTATCTGCACATACAAGTTGTTTGTAGTGGTATTTTACAATCCTAAGTTCCTACTGATTGAAATGAGGCTCTAACGGGCCGTTAAACAAATATTACATACTGAATGTTAAGCCTGGAGCTGTAGTCGTGGCACAGGAAAGGTTTACGAAGGACTGCTACACACACAAACACACCTTGGATCCATCCAGACTGATGATTCGATATACATTCCTGGTACTGTCGTAGAAGTAGGAGACGGTGACAGCGTGTTTACTGGTGGGAACCCAGTTCTTCTTGGTGTTTGGGTCGATCTGGAAGACGTGGGCCCGTGTGCTGAAGATGGGCTGCTCTCTGTGGACAGAAAGGAACAAACGTTGGAGGAGATGGAGCCATCGGTTAAAAAAAGGCCTCAAACTCTGAGGTTGCCTTAAATATGCAGCGTGTAACTGAATACGAGCCTGTGAGGAGGAAAAACAAGCTTTGGTTAAACCAAAATAGACAAAACAACAAAGCAAATTATTGCGTTCAAGTTGACAAAGATTGATGCCAAAGGAAGCCAACACCGCAGTGACAAACACTGCAGTTCCTCTAACGGCCACTAGAGGAGCTTAAGGCCTCGTATTAAAACTTTACAGCAGAAATAAACTGTTTACGACGACTGTACGGAGGGTGAATTTGTAAACACCTCACCTGTTTAAATGATTTTAAGGATTAAAGTTAAACATAATTAAGTCTGTGGACGCTTTGAGTGACAGGTGGGTTTTCAGTAACCTTTAATGAGTCCGTCTCAACTCCACTGAGCTTCACAGCGGCTCTTCAGAAACTTCTACGATTACCATTTTTGATTGTACAGTTTATGCACTGAACACAAGGCTGATGTGAATGTCATTAGTTTGCAGATATTAGGTCGGAAATCAATGACTAGACGCCAGATTAGAAGTCAGTGGATCAGCAAAGTTATTACAGTTCAACCTCAGGGGAACGTGAAGGTCAGATTTCGTGCGAATCAGAGTCATTAGGGTTCATCCTCTGGGGATTATGTCATCACTGGAGTCGCACCAATGGCTAAAAACATTCAGGAATTAGGATTGAAAGCCAAAGTACGTTAAGTTAAGGATCAATAAAGTGCTCTTCGTTCCTCACATCCTCCGAACAACCGACTGACGCTCGTTAAAAAAGACAAAACGTGTGAATAAAGCTCCACATGAAATATATCGAAGGACGTGGAAGCATTGAGGAACGTGATGAGGAAGAGGAAGGTGAGAAACATCTCGCCAGATCCCAGCACATCTATTATTCACCGGTCTGCTGTGTTGCTGCACTACCAGTGACGGAGGAGGAGGAACAGACACAGTCTTCCTCTTCTCATGTGGAACACAAAGGCAGACAGTAAAAAATATTCAATTATCACTTGGCAGGAGGAATCGAATCAAATAAATCTGCAAATATTAAAATTTGCTTCGTAATGTAGACGCTCTGCGATGTCACGATCGCTTCATTACTCGGAGTTAATGAACCTTTGCCTTCATCACCCGCCGACTGCAGAGTCATTACAAATGA